CCCCATTGCCAATCTCTATGCCAGCGCCCCCGACCCGTCGGCCCGCCGGCGTTCCTAGGGTCCTTGCCCGCTACCCATCTACCTCACTCCTTCCTCTACAACTTCTACCACAGCTTCCTCCAACTGCCCCACCAACTATAACACACGCAATTTCGTGATTGACGGCTTGCAACAGGCCATTGGCTTTTACGACAAAGTTCAAACAGCCCAGGAATATTGTTCGCTCATTGAGCTGTGCTTCTTCTCCTCCTTCTGCTACTGGAAGAGTAGCAGCAACAGCACAATCATGCGATATCATCCCTAAGGCGCTATTCTCATTTGCAATCAGTGTTGCTAATTAGCAGATCCGGTTGTTTTGCTTACGCAAAGTATACCGCGAGCACTGGAGGCAAGTTGCTGCCAGGGGAGCGTGCACACCACGTAACGCACACCATTACGTAATGTCCCAATCCTAAAGTGTACAGCTGTCAGCCAAGTTACAGCCAGTAACTGACTGCTGTCTATGTGGACCACAAAGTAGTGCACTCCGCGGCAGTGCGTCGAGGTAGCTAGGTGTCAAGCCGCCAATCGCAGCGTATAATCTAATGAACTGACGCACTGCCATCATGAAGACGACGAACTTTACACATGGTAGCGATTGGGATCCGTCAATGCAGTTGTACTGCATACACTTGCGTGGAACTCGAGTCATCCAAGGCGAAGTCGCTGATTGTCGCGTGCCTGAATTGGGCAAGTTTGTGGTTTTCTTGGTAGACGTTGTCCGGATTAGTGCACTTTTCAGAAACTTTTGCCGAAAAGCTTGTCCGATTTAGGTTCCCTTGTGGCTTTCCGAGCCGGCCATTTGAAGCCTAATTCGGTCAAAAAGTGGAAATTCGGACACAAAAAGTTTCTTCTTGGAAAGATACACAAAGGTGGTTTACGAACATCGCTCATGTCTCGGGACAAATGGTTAGTTTCAGCTACAACGCTGGGGCCAAAATGGTCAAACATGCAGCCAATTCGTTGTCCACAATCAAGGTGAGACTCGCCACACAATAAGTCCATCCCGTTTGTGCCGACGAAGTTCCACATCGAAAAACTGCCGATTCGCGACGAAGCGTAGCTATACAGCGTCCCCCCATTTGTCTCAGCCCTCCCCGAAATTGTCCGCCCTCTGCAGCGCGCAGACACCTGCGTTCCACCTCCATCCATCACCCAGCACTGCTGCCCGCCGCTACGCCCCTCAATCCAGCTTGAAGAACGACACCAGCTCCCTCTGCCATTCGGCAACCATCACCCAGCACTGCTGCCCGCCGCTACGCCCCTCAATCCAGCTTGAAGAACGACACCAGCTCCCTCTGCCATTCGGCAACCTGATCAAAGGGCGAAATCGTGCCCTTGCCACACTGCGAGTTGAAGATTGGCCAATTCTTTGGGTCCTCCTCAACGAAGCAGTGCGTGGCGCCCTCCAGCTCCATGAACTGCCCCGCGGCGCTCTTCGGCAGACGGGAGTTGAAGACCTCGGCGTGCGAGGGCGGGGAGACCTCGTCGAGCTCCCCCACGTAAAACTTGACCCTCATGTCCTCCAGCTTCGCAGCGGCCTCGTACGGGATGTCGCACACATCCGAGGCCAGGACGCAGATCGGGCTGGTGCTGAAGACGCCATCGATGGAGATGGAGAAGTTCTGCTGCGCCACGACGGCGGCCTGAGGCACGCACACGCACAAGGGGGCATCAGAGCGAGCAAGAAGGCCGCAGTATGGCCTCTTGTCGGCAGGGTGAGCATGGCAGGATGGAAGGACATTCAGCTCATTTTCTATGATTGACATTCCCCGCTTGAGCGAGGTACCCGAGATGTTTGGGGAATCCATACAATACTAAAAGCTGGGCTGCTGTGTACAGATGAATGGTTACCGGACATCGATGCAAGCATGCAGGTAGCCAGGCGTAGTGTCGCTCGTCGCTCAGAGACATGCCGGGCGCAATCACGCTTAATGCAGTCGCATTTCCACACGAAAAACAAGGTTGCGGAATGAAGAAACGTTTTAATACGCCAACGTCACGGCACACAGATGCATATGCAAGCAAGCTGAAAGCTGCATCTCCGCCAGTCGGACGTTGCATTTTGGTGCTTCGACACGCGTTGGCACCCTTCAAAATTACGCCAACACTCGCTTTACGATCGTTCGATGTGCCCACCGCTACACCTCCACGCACACAGCGAATACAAATTTGTGCATTTCCCGAGTCAGAGCGCCCCTGCTTCGCAATCGTTTTTCATCTGCACTGAGAAAATGGACAGAACGAAATCTCGAACTAGGGGCTTGTTGGGCTAGTTGAAATCCTTGAAAGGCACTGAATTCAGCATTTGACATCTGGAGACTCGGAGCCCCAGTTGGGGGTCACCCGGCGTGAAGCATCTGCTGTGCGTTACCACTGCCAAATAAGAAGCCGCGAGTCCACGTCGACACCAGTTGCAGTTCCCTTTCGGTGGATGGCAAGCGAGAGCCGGTTCAGGTCTATTTGCAGTAGACCAAAACGTAAGTCAAAATCGGGGTTTCGCTGCATGTTCCATGCACCATGTTGTTCCGTTTTGGCCACCGGCAAACGCGAAGACAAATACCCTGATATTCCCGCAACGAATCAGACAGCACATGCTGGAGACGGGTCGCCGCCTTACCTCCAAAGCCATGGCACCCCCATAGGAGTGTCCCAGCACGCCCACGCGGGTCACATCCACGAGGCTGCGAATGGACGCCGCCAAGCCGTCTTCGTCGTCGTCGTCGTCGAGGTCGTCATCAACGTCGTCGTCGACATCGTCATCGATGTCACCATCGATGTCGCCATTGTCGTCGTCATCGACGTCGTCATCAATGTCGTCGTCCAGGTCGTCGTCCATGTCGTCGTCGTCGTCGTCGTCGTCGTCGTCGTTCGTCTTGGTCCCGTCGCCCAGCACCCACGCCAGCGCGTTGGCGACGTCCCCGCCATACGCCTTGAAGAACTCGAAGCTGTCCAGGGGACTGATCCACTGGGTGGACAAGGGGGACACCACCACTGCGCCCTGGGAGGCCAGGAAGGTGAGGGTCTGGTTGTAGCTCCTGGGGGATCCGCCCAGGCCCGGCGCGAAGGTGACGAGGGGGAAGTTGCCCTTCTTCCCCTTGGGGTCGTCTGGGTAGAAGACCATGGCGTTGAAGGTGGTGGCGGTAGAGTCGGGGCTGCTCAGCACCGAGGGGTACTTCCGGGTGACGTTGACAGTCACGGTGTTGACAGGAAATATGGGTTCGAATGCGGGCTTGTACAGGTCGACGAAGAGCGGGATCTCCACCGCCTCCAGGGCTGCGAGTTCCTCGGCGGTGAGGCCGACGGACTCCGGCGTCAGCTGGCCTACCGTGCTCTCCTCCAGGGTCGGCCTGCGTGCGCCAGGGCACGTGAGCGCCGAGGACCGTGTTTTCAACGGAAATGTTGTGCGATGCACGGCGTGCATCTTTTCAGCAGAAAGGAAGCACGCGGCGTGCATTGGGCATTCGGCTCACATTCGCACAAACCCACTGCCGCAAACGGCCTGGGGCGACAACAGTGGCGTATGTTTGCGCTCGAATCTCGTGTGCTTCTAGTGTTTGGCATTGATTGGAGTTGTCCAGCACGCCAGGCAGGAATGAAAATGGGCAATTTGCAAGCAGATTTAATCTTGTTGTCAGTATGAACGTTTCGGAGACGGTGGCCAGGACGCCATACCGAAGCTGCAGAAATGCCCAGAATCGGCGCCCAGCAAGCAACGGCATTCCTCTGACTACGTTGATACCGTCGCAGCGCTTCAACAAAATAACAAGCCTGGCACAGCATTGTGAGCATTTTCCCAATATTGTTGTGCAGTGTGCAAAGCGCTTTTCACGCATATTTTAAGTACACCATCACGGGGATTCCAAGAATTCCACAGTGGTTGTGTCCCACACTACTGCAGTCCTGACAGTACCTGCACTGTTCGAGGTTCCTCAAGGACAATAGACCCTCATTTTCAGATGGAAATGGGAATTGAGACCCGCATTGAGGCCCCAAGGCAAGGAGTGTCTGAACCGCCGCAACGCCCCCAAGAAATTGCAGCTGGCGTGCCACACAAGTGAATTTGTCAGCATTTATGTCCTTTTCTGCCCAACAAAAGCTGTTGCTTTGGGACATGGGCAAGCCATCAGCAGAAGCAAACCGGACAATGCAAGGGCCGATGTGCTTGACATCCATCGTGCCACCAGGATAATGGGCAAGACATATGTACTCAAGTCAGCAACACATTCAGCTGTGCATCTGCTTGATGGAGTCCTGTGCTTTTGGAAGCCGCTGGGGGGCACAGTCTCATGGCCTACATTCCTGTCCAACGGCAATCCTCCAGGACTGAGCCAGGGTGGATGTGAAGCGAATGCACAACTAAAGAAGGTAAACAAGAGCACAAGCAGCCGGAGCGGCAGCACTCACCCTCGGCTGGCAAAGGCACTGTCCCTCGTCAAAGAAGGCCAGAACTGCTGCACAGCACAGGGCCTGGTTCATGGCCGCAGGGTCGCAGCTGGGAGGCAGGACTTCCAATAGGTGGTATCCACAGACTCTCTCACTATTAAGCAACAGGACGTCCCCATAGGGCTTCTGCTCTGCAGCCAGCCTCATCTGCTCCTTGGTGTTGGCAAAAGACACATCTGGCAATCCAGAACATGCATGAGAAACTGTTGCATTTAAGAACTCGGGCTCTTTTCAACAGATGGGTTCTCTTCAAGACTGCACGCCTGAAAGTTTGCACCAGACCTGTGTCTTCGAAGCACTGCATGCGTTTTGCACCAGACCTGTGTCTTCGAAGCACTGTGTGCCTTTTGCACAAGGGCACCAACAGCGGCATCAGCAACAGCGACCACAAGCGGCTCAGTGGACATCGCAAAACCGTGTTCGCCTGTTCTCCGGGCCACTCGTCATGTGGCAATCCTCCAGAACACTGATGAAGCTATTGCAATGATCGTGGGACAGTGCACACAGGGCTTCGATTTTCGTATGCCCACCATCGTCTGCAGGGTACAAGGGATTTGTGCCCATCAAGGGTGTTCTGAAAATCGTGATGCATCGAACTTTCAAACTTGCAGACACTTGCACATCATCTGCTGCAGTGTGCAATGGTGTCTTATTAGTCACAATGTTCATTGCAATGACTGCTTGTCCAAAGAGGGAAATATCTGTTTTGAACACGATCCTGTGAGCCTGTTGTCCATGCCATGGTCGGCGATGCAGGAGGCTGCTACTGCATCAAGGACATCGTTGAACGACATCTTGTCATTCCAGTTTTATTCCTGAGTTATCACTGGTACATGTTCGTCAAAGACTAGGCTTGAAATACCCCAACATCACTGGTACATGTTTGCCAAAAGCCACGCTTTTGAATGCCTTCACAACTATTGACATGCCAAAGTAGCATGACATGCCGTAGGGGCCAAAACACAGCACACTTCCGGCATAAGCACGGCCAAAGTACAGTTGTGCAACTCGGTCTCCATACCTCACCTTGCAGAAGGAAACGGCCAGTTGGTAGCTGGGATCCTGGCCGGGCCGCTCCCAGAGGGAGAATTGCCTGCAATGGAAAGTGAAGGCAGTCAATGGATGTTTGGAACGGATGCCACAACTGTACTCAACACACCACACCCCATGAAGTGGTGCAAACAACTTTGTGGTTCGTCGATGCCACTATTGATGGCTGCACCCCAGACCACTCTGATGTTTGTTGGCGATGACCAAAAGCGACCAAGATCATGTGCTGTCAACATGCAAAGGCCATTTGCTTGTGATTTGAGTGGGCAGAGCGCGAGGTAACAAAAATTGGGGAACAAACGAACGCTTGTGTTCGCCCTCTACTGCAAGATGGCACTGTTGTGGAATGTGAACGCGAGCACAAGGAACCCAACCAAGGAGAAAAACAATGCCCTTTCGTTGCATCACCCCAGCAGTTTAGCATAACTGGCTTTTCATGGTCGTTTTCGATCCATAGTAACGTGAAAGCTGCGTCACGACAGCCACGTGGACCGGCCTGAGTGAACAATGCCACCATAGGAACCACTGGGCACAAATCAACCAGCCCAACAAACGTCGGCAAGTCCAACACACTCTGTCCGTGCGATGTCGCCGGTGCGTAGGGGATGAGGAAAACTCTCTCTGAAAATTGGTCACGGCCAGGATGGATGCGCAGCCTCGCAAACAGATTGAAGCCCACCCCGCGGCATGCCACATGGCCGTCCCAATCAAGGAGCCATGGCGGCAATGCCTCCAACGTACCTGCGAGGCCAGAAGGGCGAAAAAGATGACCGTCGGCAGCTGTAGCTCCATACCGACCACTTTCAGCAGGGTGTGACCAATCGCTCACTTGGCACTGGCGCTCCTGGCTGCACAGAGAACTTCAGCGCTCTGGGATTCGACAAACGGCCAGCACCAATAAGGGGAACATCGGGCACAGCCAAAGAGCCTTTCAGAGTTTGAAGAGCACTGGGAAGGGCGTTCCCTGGGTGGCGAAGCAGCGGCACGGCAACAACCGCCCCTGCTTGAGAATGCCATGCCCGCTTGGCTTTAATGGCGATACCCCGCGAGCCCTACCCCGAGCCCCTGATGCCCCGCGGGAACATCCTAGTACGGCCCCCATCCGCGATCCGCATGAGTGGCTCCCCCAACCAACAAGCAGTACAGCCCGCGATGCTGCGGGGCCGGCGCAGGAAGGGGCGCTCGCACGCGAATCCTTCCCCCCGCCCCTTTCCACTTGCTTTTGCGCTGCAGCCGGGCGACGCGGCGGTGGGCGGCGGGAACGCGCGTCGGAATGACCCAGGCGTCGCGCCCCCAACGGCGACAGAGCGCATTGCTCACCTCAGTGCGCTCACGGAGAGTCTGCTCGCAGGTTGCCACGAGAGGGCTCGTATATGTACAGGACTTTGGGTAACTATCGGGCGTTGTCTCACACGCACGGTCAGACATCCGGTTCGCGGACGTGTGACGGTACCGGCATCGGCCATAGGCCATACCGTTGGTCGCACACAAGGCCGCGGCCGCGGCCTGCCCGCTGTGGTGCGTCATACTGGGGCCGGTCGATCTTCCCGGCCACCAGGTGGCGACGGCCATGTGCCCGTTCACCTCACGGCCATGTCCCCGTGGGTATCACCGACACCATGCGCAAAAATGGAACAAACTGCAGCAATGGAAAGCCACAAGGATCGGCACGATGTCCGGAAAGTCAGGTCAACCAGTTCTGCACAGCAGAACAGAACGGTGGGCCACGGTTGCCACAAGAGTGTCTTTCTCAGTTTGAACATCCGACTTGCAACAGATAATTCGAAACCATCTTTGTCAGCACCACTCACGTCCCTGAGACCCCAAGATGCAATGTGGGGAGTGGGGCTGTACGTATGATAGGGGGAGCCAGTTAAGGGGAATTGGCTGTAGTGAACGAATGGGGACGCCTTTGGGATTGGTTCATATTTGGGGATGGCGGCGGGAATAGGAGCTGAGGAAGTGTGGGAGTGAGGGAGAGTGGGAGTGGGTAGCGAACGTGGGTAGCTGCTGGGCTAGTTGGCAATGGATCATAGTTGGTCTGGGCGGCGAGAATATAAATTTGGCATGAGCAAAGGACACGAACCCGGCCAGCTCGTGAAAGTGGCCAGAGTGAGGATTCTGAACCCCTTAGGACATCCTGAGGCAAATCCCTCAGTTCAAAACCGCATAGTAGTATGTGAGTTGGAACTACGGGATTTGTCTCAGAGCTGAGGCACTCTTCATGTATCCCTGGCTATCTCATTGACGTCGGGCCCGACATCCAGCGGGTGGTCCTAACGATTGCGGCGTCATTGCTCCAAACTCTGCAACTGAAGCCATGAACTGGACAGCCTCGGAACTAGAGACGTAAAGTTGGGAGCCTACTTAGTCTCTGTCGTCAGGTTTTAAGAACAACTTAAAAGGAAGAAACTGATAGGCCAGGGCGGACTCTTGAATATCCATCACACATCTGCAAGGCTGTCACCCAATGTCAATGGATTATTACTATTAGAAACTCATGAAACTCATCATGACGTCTATCATCCATCAGTCGCTTAAACGAGTCATCGCATGAGGGGTCCTTGGATATTGGTCACAGTGATCAATTTGTGCACGCTGACTAGCGCCAAAAGAAGATAGTATCCTGCACGCACGATTGGAGCGAGGCAATGGAAAGGCGGTAGACTACCAACAGAGCGCTGCAAATGTCATAGTTTGGGGCTCCCCAGTGCCAACTGAGTACGCATCGGTGAAAATCGCGTAAAGAGTGCTATGCATACCTGTGATGTTGTTTTCGATGCAGATGCCCTTTCACACAATAGTAAATGTTGGACATGAAATGCACTCTTGCGGTAGCGCAACGATTTCCTACCATGTGGCTCGCAACGCGTTGCAGAAAAGAATGCGTTGATAGCTACCAGTTGCCTTCGGAATCATTCAATCTCCATTTCGGTGGTCATGCACCACAATGTAAAGCATGCTTCAAGATCTCATGCGGCCTTTCGCCAATTATAGCTAACACATGGTCCCACCCGCGCGACGGCCATCATGTCGCAAGAGACATGAACACAACTGTAGGCGATTTCCCCCCACCACAACCTCCCTTTCTAATCTTCCCAAGAAAATGTGGTAACATTTCTAACTAGCAGGGAATTTGGCCACTGGGTGATGGCTGGCAGCTTGGCTCGGCCACCGGTCCGCGTTCAGTGCCTCGTCCAAGGGCCAACGCTTGCGCCTCGTTGCCTCAAGTCCTTTGACTACATTTGTCACACGAGCGTGACAAAAGACTGCGCTTGCAACTTAGAGAGGCGATGTTCGGCATGAATTCCAGACCAGCATTGCTCGTTCCCCTACACTAGGAAAAATGGGCAAAATAACATGTGTTCAAACGTGTACAAAATCTATGGCATTGTGTTATGTTCGTGGTTTTAGCATGCAGAACACTGACAAAATGCATACATACCCATTCGCATAAAGTGCCATTGGGTCCTGTTCTTGCTAGTGCCCATATCTCATCGCCTCGGGCACGCTTCACAACTGGAAAGCATATTGTTGATAGAGCTTCGCGCAGCGGTATAAGCCAATTGTAACAATAATGCACGCTAGAGGCCCAACCTCTGGCGTCGTCACCGGATTCTCCCGGGGACGGGGGGCGGCGACATCGCCGACCTGGGGTGTGACGCCACACGGAAGGCGGTTTCCATCCCTGACGTCACTGCCACCGCACGCCTTTGGGCGTCTCCAAATCCCACCGCCGCCCTTCAGGGGGCTCACGGCCCCGGCGTCCCCAGGACCACACGTGCACGTTGCGAGGTGTTCCCGAATTGTCGCCCGGTGGCCGAGGAGGGGCGTCCCTGCATCCCCACGTCCCCACGGGGGCAAAAGCTCAAGGGGGCCTTCCGGAGGGTGGATAATGGGACGCCCATCCCCGCGTTCCCACGTCCACAAGGTGGTGCAGATCTCAAGCCCCGCGGGTGGGGTGGGTGGGGGGATGGGTACAGACGCCCCCGTGTACCCACGTCCCCACTGTGGCGAGGTACCTCAAGGCCGCCTCGGGGAGGGGGGGGAGGAGACATCCGTCCCCGCGTCCCCACGCCCCCCACGGGGGGCACGGACCTCAAGTTTCCCCGCAGGGGGTGGGGATTGGGTTGGGGGGCTGGGGACGCTATTGGGGGTTGGGCGCTAAAATTTTGAATTTTATTGTATTTATATTAGCTTTAATTCCATAAAATAAAACACCCCGTCCTTTTCTACAGAAGAGAAAACCAACTGGCAATGATGTAAGCTGCTTAAATTGCACATTGGCCCATCAAACTAGCGTACCTGTGTATTGGGGGAGAGCTGTGTTGGAGGCTTGCACTCGAGCGATACATTCAATTCTTTGCGCATTTGCAAATGATTGTGAAATTAAAGGCACGATTGCCCAAACGCGAGTGGCCTAGTTACCAGAACCATGTTGGGTTGCGCGTTTGATAATTGTTTGCCTGTTTGTGGTTGGGCGAGTGTTGGAATAGAGGCGCATTTCCGTGGGAACTAACCACTTGTGGCATGAATCTAGGGACATCCTTGCATTTCAGAAGGGACGAATCTGCTGATCTCGAGAGGTCCTTTCCAGCGTCCTTTACAGCGTTGACATTTCATGAGCAACTGCGATTCCCAAAAGATGTCGCAGTCGCGCTGCAAGAGGCTGCTGAGGCGTAGGTGGTGAGATACTTTGATGTAATTGTTGTTCTTCTTCTGTCGTCTTTATTTATGATTATTAGAACATTGCAACAGAACCAGGCTTGGTTTTTACGCCGTAAAAACTGATCATATTTACGTTTTTACGCGCAAAAACAGTTTTTACGTTTTTACACGTAAAAATGCGTAAAAATACGTAAATACAACGTAAAAACTGCCCGGTGTACATAAGGACAGTACATACAGACTTACGGAGTCCGGAGAGTGGCAGCCTGACGCCCTGGAAGGGGCAGAAAACGAGTTCTTGTTAAACATCATCATCGCCCTTGCCAAGTGCGTGATGGACACTGTGTTGCGGGTGCTGGATATGGCGGAGGACTGATAATTGTACGCAACCTTCATCATGTAATCTGAGCGTCCAAGGGAGCCGTAAAAACGTAAAAATAGCCGTAAAAATAGGCCCTTTTGCAAATTTACGTTTTTACGCGTAAAAACGTAAAAGTGAAAACGTAAACGTAAACGCAAAAACCAAGCCTGAACAGAACTGTACACATAGAATGACGCCTGTGCCAAGGAAACCTCTCCCGTGAAGATGTCGAACATGCCAGTGGGGAAGATTTGGAGAATATGGCACTGTGGCTACTGGGTGCATTCGGCAACATCGCTTTTGGACAGCCACATGTGCAAGTGCGTGTTGAGTGCGTGTTGAGGGAAGTATTTCCGCAGATGCCGGTCCTTCGGCGGAACCATCTCGACAATTGCCGGGCAGCATCGCTTATTTGGTGCATTTTGTGTCTCCTCCGTATGTCGCAGAGTGTAGGAACGTACGAGGCAATCACGAAGAAGCTTAGTCGAGGAGATTTTAAGCAACAGGAACTACTCTTCTGGCATTCTGAAGATACCTTGAACTTCCCGCAAGTCGCGAGAGTCGCTGTTTTTATCAATGTCGGGTGGACGCGCTCTGTTTCCAGTACTTTGGGCATTGCTGACTCCGCTTCTTCTGGATGCCAAGGTCTTTTACCTTTTGAATGCGCCTTCAACAGCAGCTCTTCCATTCCCCGTTCAATACAGATGTTCATCGTCAGCCTGCTCTTTCCAATCACGCTTCAAGCTGTCCTCATGATTTTGCT